GGTTCAACTCGGCTTTGAAGAGTGTTTCAGTGTCATCAGTGTGCGATAGCCTAACGAGGGAGGAAAGCCGCAGTAATGAAGAAGTTTGTGAAACCCTAGTGGATGGGCATGGAGCTAACTAGACTGACATTTCGTCCCAGAAATAACATTATCTTAATTCAAAATATGTATCTACACAAACATTCCAGATGGAACCCAGAACACCGTCTAATGTCAGGTTTAGGCAGAGCCAGTCAAGACTTGTTCAATCATTGTAGACTTGAATCAGACTCTTTTTGGACTATTTCTAGGGTCTGGGTGTTGACAAAATGAAAGAAAAAGCACAAAAGGTGTACGTTTTTCTTGAAGTTCGAAAAATCATTCTTAACCTCATTTTAGCTATCCGTACGCTTGGTCTTTGAAGAAGAAAGAGAAATGGTTCTTGAGATGATCTTAAGAAAATGTTTGGGGTCTGCTGGGCTAACACTCCGACACTGACCCCGGCAATGACTACCGAGTGGCGGCATCTGATCATGTCTTTGCAGTAGAAGTAATAGTAGGCCGACATGAGAATCCCATAAAAATAACTACCCTATTTAGAAAATCTATAACAAAAAAGACATTAAATCAAATGAATCCCAGGACAATCCTTAAACTCAGGAGCTGGGACAATCTAGACTTGCCAGCTCATTCTAGACTTGAGTAGGACTGCTATTGAATAGATTCTCCAGAGACTGGGAGACCTATCATTTACCCTGTGTAACTATTCTTAACAACCTAACACCGTTCCAATAATAATAATGTGTCAATTTATATAGCACCAAACTCCACATTAGGTATGCACATGGCGCTAACAATCAAAGCACAGCACATTATTACCCCGGATAACCCAAGCTGCCTGTGAGGAGTTAGAATGTTAATAGTCACATGACCTATCCCACCGGGTACCCATTTTTTTCTGCTGGGTGAACAGAAGAAAATTTGAACAATCTCACTTGCCCAAGGCGAGACCACATGTGTCACATGCTCTCGAGTCTCAGGTGTCACGCTACCAAACAAGGCCACCCATCCAAAGACTCTCCGCGCCCAGCGTTGCTTAACTTCGACTGATTTGTGACCTGAGGTCTATGCACAGGGCCACACACCACCACTTTCCACTGTTTATAGAAAGAAGACACATATTTCACTTGGGTAGTGTGCGTTCGTGATCTCACCCGACCCAGATTCCAAAGGTTTCTTTGCAAACGGGAAAAGGAAATGACTTGATAGTAAACAAATTGACATTGCGGCCATATTTTCTTGAGAAAAACTCAGCCCCGCATCTGTTCCGCGTGTGCTAGTTGTTTAACGCCGCACTCAGCAACATCGAGTCTGAACCAAACTATCCAATGATTGACACCATGAGCATGATACAATGACATGCTTTACAAACCGAAACATTAGTCTCATTAACCTGTTCAGACAATGACCTACATTTCAGCCGATCCGAATTTTCTTGTGTGAAAGTAAAAAGAGAGACGACAAACAACTATGGTTACACTGAATTCCAATTCCTTGTTTCATACGAAAATGGTATTTACAAGTTAATTTTAATTTCAAACTTTAATAACATCGTATTTCTATATTTTATGGCGAGGTGTAGGCAGCATGACCTTAACTAAGACGTCACAGACTGCCCCTGTTTGATGAGCTTGTAAAATGATTCACAATACATCTGGCTCACTGGTTACATCTGTTATGTGTTCTTAGCGCTTATTCTGTGTGGTTGTGAACCGCACAATGTGATTGATATAATATCAAGTCCGTACTAGACCGCCAAACTTTTCTAGCGGCAGAGCCTCGTTTTGAGTTTTTTACGATTTCCAGATTTCCGTTTGTCAGAGCACGCTGTACGACAGAGCACGCTGCACGACATGTTTGCAAGGATTAGAAGGAGCGTAGTGTTGCAATATACAAGTGCTTAGATGTATCAAATAATCCTGATTAAAATTTATGTATCCAGTTGAATGAATTGGTCTCAAAATTCTGGACTGGTTATTGTACTAAGTTGCGGAATAGGACGGAACCCAGTCAGCAGGAAACGAGACTCTTGTGTAATCAATGTTTTGACTTGCGAAGTCTGCGAGACTGACCACCTATCCCTTCCGTCGCCTCTCACGACAAGCATAGGTTGCAGACCAATTCTCAAACAGACCATGTAGTTTGGACCTGACTTCAACTCAAATATGATGTTCATATATATCATCTCCAGTTTCAAGAAAACAATGTGCTAAAGTCTTTTAACAAAATATCACTTTACATATTATTTGTTCACGTTTCATGGCAACCTAAATCGTGTGTGTTTCTTTTATTCAAATGTTCTGCTTCCATATTTAGAGAAATTCTACGAATATCTCATGGTAACCCTCCACTACTTCGTTTTTACGCCGCCAACAATTTCGTTGTCGTGGTTTTATGATCGGCCTTCCCACGGATATCCTTGTATTTATATACAGTGCAGGATGACGTTGGTGGACTAACATTATGGGAATTGTCATAATATGATACAAACGAAACCATAAGATACAACTTTTCAGTGCAGAAAATATGGCTGTGAAATCTTCCTGCAGAGGTTCAGATACAGTCGATATCGTTTCTCAAAGGATTGTAACGTTAAGTGAGTCGTAAGCTCTTAAGCATAACACATATATTGCACTGTAATATTGCGGAATGGTCTCCATCCGGTGCTGTTGTCGAGTCAAATCGACGCAGAGAAATTCAGGGTGGTTTCTTTCTGTGTGTGAGTGAATGGGTTTTTGGTTGAAAGTCTCTTTGGACAAATTTCAATAACTTCTAGTTCTGTCAGTTTGGAAGACCAATGTGATGACGGTTTAGATTGTGAAGAGCGACGATGAACCCAATAAGAACGGGTATGGTACTAAGAAACCAAGAAACACAGAACGATCGAAACGAATATTCGAATCGACGTCCTTTTTTGTGGTACGTCTTTAGAATGCAACAAGCTGCGGTGCTGTTCTGTAACTGTAACAATTTTGCCCTTTAGGTTTTTACCACTTGTTTTATGACTTGCTATATGTAGTTGCTTGGTTTTTTTTTTTCGTTTGGAATGTGGTCGGATGGAGATAGGGGGAGGGGCGTGATATTGTGATGAATATTAAACATGCTGTAATCTTCTCATGGTCTCAGTATCAACCTATTCAGTTTACATGGAAACATGTTATAGTTTGCTGTATTTTCAAATTAAGAAAGAATTTTAACAATGTACAGTTTCTTCATGTGGTAGTATATAAGAATGTCCATATCATCCTCGTTATAACGCCATTTCTTCTCCAGCAAGTCTTAAACCACTTTCGCATTTTATGGTACATAATTTTTTTACTATTAAATAAGCTTCCATAGAGAAAATGAAAATAGACATTCATAAGGGTTTCTCACTATGTATTTGGTAAAAACATCGGCGGGTTCAGGAGGGGGGTGGAAGCGCAGGAGTTAACATCCCCTCACTCACACAAGCCCTTCTTTTTAGCAATGCTTAACATGTTAGCCTATAAAAACGTCATATGACTGAATACTTATGTTATTTTTCAAGAAATATAGCAATTATTTAACTACTTCTTGGCATACAAATGCAACTGCTTTACAGAATTACGTGGTGACATATCTTTAAATTCGTCCCCGGTCGTAATCCGTTAAAAAACACAGCTTCAATCTTGCCAGCCAAAACCGCAGTGTCAAAGATCCATGTAATTTCGTATAGCATTTACCTACCTCGTGTCTCACACTCAGTCATGGAACAGTTCTTGTTGACCAGCTCGGCTTTGCCAATTAGCAGGATCGTTTTATAAATGTTTCACCGCCTGACATTTGCGGGTATTGCATACGATCTTTAAAACGTGTTTTCATTCCAAATTATTTCCTTAAAGCTTCACTCTCTGTACAACAACACCATGGCTGTGTGTGACACATTATTGGCCATTCTTACGTGGTATACTGTATGCAACAAAAATACTCACAGTATCAAGATAGATCAACTCCTCAAATGATACTAAGGGTAAAGTCTGGAAAAAGGTCATTGCTATTTACTTGGCCTTTCAATGTCTGAAAATATTTATTTTATTAACTTAAGGAGGATCTCATTTTGAAAACGTGTTTTTTAAAGGTTCGTTTTATCTCAAACTAATTTCCTAGTGTTTTTGCAGCTGTGAATCGAACCATATGTGTACGAATAGGTATGTCTTACCTATAATGGAGGTGCATTAATGTCACGATTGTGTATTTTTTTCAACGTAATAAACACAATATGTACATATTGTCATATCGTACCATGGAATAGAAATGTGCTTATTTTACATTTGGTTTTGGTTTGTGAAATTTTTAACAATGAAGAATTGTTGAATACTTCATATTTTCACGACGTAGTCTTTGTAGAATTCCCCTTTAGAGGTGATTTTAGGCTGGTTAGACGTGATTTGGGGCTGGTAAAAAATGTTATTTTCGTCCGGTCAGTCCAAGGCTTTGATGTAACATTGTCAAAATTGTTTCCAAGTTTTCGAATTTCTGAATACACCTCCTGCACGTTTGGAAGACGGTAATGCCTGGGTTGAGTCTACACAGTGCAACGGACGTTACGTGTTGGTGGAACGATCCAGCTAAGCATCCTTATCGTTGAGAATAAAATCAGTATTTGTAGCACGTAAGCCAAACAATGGACGGAAAGAGGTGGATTCAGACATGGTATAATTGTCCATATCCCCTCGTTATAACGCCAATTTTTCCCCAGCACGTAGTAAAACGCTTACGTTTTTATTGGAATCGGAAAGATATCACACATGTGGATCGTATGTGTTTGATTCTACTGCGATATGCTGAAATATCGTTGTATAAACCAATATGGCGTAATAGCGAGGAAGGTATCTCTGAATAGAGAAGGTGTGAGGGTGCTGCGGTTTTCGTTAGTCGGGTAATACAAGGGCTTCCTACCGTCTCATTGATGAACATTACCCCACGGCTGTACCTGAGCAATTACCCCACGACTGTACCTGAGCAATTAAGATACTTTGTCACACGGTTACTGCTTAAACTCAGGTAAGTAAAAACATGAGTAATTCTTACACTCGTACATACACCATTTCAGAATGGGTGGTTACATTTCCGTCAAACAAGGGTAGTGCATGATGTTAATCGAGATAAATGTATGTTAGTCACCAAATGTCGACACTCCGTTTACAACACGGAGGCTGTAGGTATATAGGTATGAAACGGGTCTCGTCCGAGCTTTTCTTTTGTTGCATATTTCTCTTTCTCATTATCATCATTTTCAGCATCAGCATCATCATCATCGTCATTGTCATCATCAACCTCATTATCATCATCATCATTGTCATCATTATTATCATCTCCTTTATAATCATCATTATCATCAAAATACAGTCATCACTATCTCCCTCTTCATCATCAGCATCATCACTGTCGTCACTGTCGTCATCATTATCAGCTCCTTAGTCATCATTATCATCAAAATTACAATCATCACTATCCTCCTCCTCTTCATCATCATCATCATCATCATCATCATCATCATCATCATCATCATCATCTTCTTCGTTGCCATTATCACTAGCTCAGTGATCTACATGTATATAGTTGTCATTAGCCTCCCAAGTTAATAATTAATCACTCTTCACTAGATAATGACATCAAAAGGGAATTTTAAATGGATCAACAAGATTCCCAATGTCAGTATTGCCGAATCAATGATCGTATGTTAAACAGAATTGAATATGAATGATTAAAAAGTCATCGAAAAATCGAGCAGAGTCAGAGCGATGTTCTCTACAACACAGTCCCTTTAATGGATCAAAGCGTTGTAAACCCAAATCAGCAACACTTCGTTGGGTCAACACCTCATACAGAAGGTCAATCACCCCTAAGTGGGTGTTGATGGATACTGCAAATATAACGTAGGCTGGATGTATCACTTTTGTTTTTGTGATGCCCGTTATCTCCGTACGTAACATTAACCATATCGCTCTCGCTAACAAGCAGCTGTAGAATGCTTATCGCACGATGTGACAACATAGCTACCACATATATGCATGTACATCGAATGTCAGTCAGATAAAGAGATGCACACTGCCTCAAACTTTACATTCCCGGACTAAGATAAATACTATTTATAGCACATAGATGTATTCAGTCCTAATTATTTCCATGATGGTGTAGGCCAAGGGTGATCTCTTTTGCCTATATTATTAATAAAACTTGCATATCCGTAACATACTTGTTTACAAATGTGACAAAACGGAAATCGCAAACACATATATTCTTTGCAACATAAATTGGTTTTTTTTAAGCTAGATACTATAAACGTAGACATGTGTAGATTGGAATATTACCAATAACGCCAATTACTCTCGTTTCCTTTGAGATCAAAAGCTTGGTGATATCCATACAGGAGGCATGCACATGGGACAGGATCTTGTTATGCTTTGGTTCACACTCATGTCATATGTATAGAAAGCAGGGGTAATACAGACGAGGTATTACAAGCACAGCATCCGTGATGTTGACATAAGACGTCTCCCCGACCTACCACACGTCGTCATGTTCGCAGTTTACAAAATGTAATTTTTGTTTGATATCAAATAGTCTGTGTATCTTTACAATTGCGCGAGAGAAGTAAACAGTGCAAGAAATCCTATACGGTTGGTCTTCTTTATAATCTGCTTTAACAAAATTGTTCATTTTTTTAAAATGATGTTACACTGACGCCGTAGATTGATACTGTATGCAATGGTATGCGAGGCTACACCTATATACGCACACTGAGCCATGACTCTACTTGAGTGTTCGGGGAGCCAAGTAGCTAGTGTGTTCGGCTATTGATTTCCTGGTTCCACTGGTGTGTCTGATCCAGGCTGAATGAAATACAAGCTGATCCCTGTTTATGATGTCAATCACTTGATTGTCGGGTGCTGACTGAATGAAATAGAAGCTGGTCTCTGTTTATGATGTTAATCACTGGATCATCTGGTTCTGACTGGATAAAATACAAGCTGATCCCTGTTTATGATGTTAATCACTGGATCATCGGGTTCTGACTGGATAAAATACAAGCTGAACCCTGGTCATGATGTCGATCACTGGATTGTCTGGTCAAGACTCTAATATTTACACAATATCATAAAGCTGCATCATCGTGCGGTGTTTAACAACAACTCAGCAAAATAACAAATCCAATCCACTTTTGTCCACGACTATTTACCGAAAACGCTCACTGGATTCTGTTAAGATTCTGATAATCGGGACCGGTTATTCTGTCGTTGACCTTTCTGTATTTCAATGGATTAAGAGAAGTCATTTTATGCTAGAATGATCTCAATCATAAAACCTGACCTAGCAGGCGAGTAAAACGTGCCCTGAAACTGGCTAGCCTGCCAATTAGCCCCCAACAGAGACACCCTTTAAGTTTAAAAGCCGAGCATCTGTGACCTTCAATATCGAGAACCAACTTGAATATCAACATAATATAAAAGTCTACAGTAAAGGCAGACATGAATCGATCCTTTCTTAGACTTTTGTTGTATACCCCATTAAAGTGGAAAAGTAAAAAAACACATAAATAATTCTGTCTTTGGACACTTCGTGGATGCTCTTTTACCTATGTCATGAAGTATCACACACTAGACTGCGCAATCATAATGCGCCTACGAAAGTGCTATTTGAACGGGAAGCCCCATCCACATGGATGAAGCCACCGATATAAGCGCTGCCTGTTTAAACAGTTATCCGGGAGATCGGTCCATGCTCCACCTGTTTCATCCACTGTGTATGGTCGTCCTGATGTGTATGTTCTGGGAGTTCGGGATAAAGCCATACCACACGCAAACCGGCTTCACGCAGCCAAGTATACGGACGCTGCTTGCGTGATTATTCAAGGATAGCTTAACTCGAAAAAGACAGGAGTCTCCATATAAACATCGGTTTAGGAGATTGGTGCGCTTGAATTATTGCTGATGATAGTTTTATGCTGCTTTTAACAATATTCTAGTGAGTGAGTGAGTGAATAAGTGGGACGGTGAGTGAGCGAGTGAGTGAGAGAGAGGGTGATTCAGGGGGAGTGAGTGAGTGAGTGAGTTTAGTTTTACGCCGCTTTTAGTGATATTCAAGCAATATCACGTCGGGCGGACAACAGAAATGGTATCGAACCCGGGTCTTCGACGTAAGGAGCGAACGCTTTAACCACTAAGCTACCCTACCACCCCAAGTCAGTCGGGGTGTATGTGAATGAGTGAGTGAGTTCACAGAACTGTAGGAAGTCTACTTCTGCACCAAAATGAACCACAGTAGAGAAATGATTGGGCTGTTTGATGAAATAGTTTTTCTAAATATTTTAAAGTATATAATAGATTCAATCCCTTGGATTCCATTTGTTTGTTTGCTGGGGACTGGCTATATATAGATGTCAGTATGTAACCATGGTAACAGTATGATCATAAATCGACTGGTGGTCATACAAATGGTTTGACCCTTGTGTTAAACGCGCATATACACGTGACATCTTGAAAATATGTCGTGAATAGATGCTGTCTCATCCTCGGCACCCACAGGACATGCAAGACCATTTCAAGTTTACCTGTCACACTTGACCCATAGTATACCTGTCTGACGTGACCCGTGCTATTCGGTACCTATATATATATATGTATGTTAAATGTTATACCCTTGTGTACTGCTATACAAAACTTCACGAAGATCCGGGTTAGAATTGATCTCCAGCAACCCATGCTTATCGTAAGAGTCGACTAAGGGGATCGGGTGGTCAGGCTCGCTGACTTGGTTGGCACATCTCTTTGCGTAGATCGATGCTCACACGTCATCGTATCCCAGTTGCGCAAATTGATGCTCATGCTGTCGATCACTGGATTGTCTGGTCGAGACTCGATTATTCACAGACTGTCGCCATATAGCTGAAATATTGAGTGCGGCGTAAAACTAAACTCACTCACTCACTCATTCAAATCTTCGCGTAACTGTTCGGAACCATTGGGCACTTACTGACGTTACCATGGTGTGTTTAGCAAGCATTTCGCCGCTGAATTATTGATGATACTAATCTTACCGACCCACCTATGTTTACGTATGTGAATTCGGAGTCTTGGGGGTGGTGGGGTAGCCAAGTGGTTAAAGCGTACGCTCGTCACGCTGAAGGAAAGGGTTCGATTCCCCACACGGATACAATGTGTGAAGCCCATTTCTGCTATACCCCGTCGTGATATTGCTGGAATATTGCTAACAGAGGTGTAAACCATATCACTCACTCACTCGGAATCTTGAAGTTAGGAACAGTTTCGTGCCGGAAGGTAGACAGGTATCGCGACGTTAAAACGTTTGACGTCAGACAAGGAACACTTACAAATCTGATAGTCAGACATTGTCTAACTGTGTCTTCAGGTTCGGGTTCGTTGGCCAACTTAAGACAGGTGCTTCTTTAATTACTTTACAAGGACTCTATGTGTTCAGTTCGTCAACTTTTAGTTTAAAAAAGCACGTTGTATAACGTTTGTATTTAAGAAGTACCTAAAAACTACATGCCCTTGTGTGCCGAGGATGAACCATTTAGCCTTGTCCGTAACTTGCTGACCTTGTACCGACACGGTACACAGACATCTGTAGGTAACAGCGTGTTTTTACCAAGTCCTGTGCCTTTCTTGAAAATTACGAGGTTGTTTGCCTACGGTGAGAGTGTGCAGTCGTTTCAAAGTGCTATTTCAAGATGCACTGTCAGAGGCGTTTCTCTCCTCACAACAAGTGTATTGTTAACATAGCTGTTCTTTGATCATCAGGAGGTTTGCTTGGTTTGGGCATCTTTTTGTCAAAACATGCAAACAGTTTGATCTCTGGGGTGGCGACTCCCGGGGCGTGATCAGCATGACTCCTTTGATTTAAGGAAATGTGTTGCGATGGAATTCCTCCTTTTAAAGGTAATACGCGTTTCGTTTTTAGATGTTTCTTACAAATTTCTAAGATGGAACCCCTAGCATCTGGAATTTATGACAACTGAGTTATTGGGGGAAGTTTCATTG